GTGAGAAAGGCCTTTAGTTGCTTAGAAGTTAGCCTGCAGTCCTTTGAAACCTAGTGGACTTTTACACGTCTTGCTTTTAGAGTGTTCTTTGTTGGTGGAGCACTCCTGGGGAGGGTAACAGTGGTCTTGAATTGTCTACACAGTCTGTCTGACTGTGGATTGGTGGAGAACAAACTCTTTAGAGATGGCTTTAAACCTTTTCTAGCCTGATGAGCAACACCAACTCTTTTTCTGAGGTCCTCAGAGATTTCATTTATTTGTGCCATGATACACTTCCACAAACATGACCAAACTTTGATAGATCCCTGTTCTTTAGATAAAACAGAGCAAAACCTTTTCTAGCCTGATGAGCAACACCAACTCTTTTTCTGAGGTCCTCAGAGATTTCATTTATTTGTGCCATGATACACTTCCACAAACATGACCAAACTTTGATAGATCCCTGTTCTTTAGATAAAACAGAGCATGCACTGACACCAGATAGTCATCTCACTGATTAAAAACACTTTCGAACAGATGGACTCTAATTTCACCTTCAAATTACAGCTAATCCTAGAGATTCACATACTTTTGCCACTCACATATATGTAATATTGGATCATTTTCCTGAATAAATTAATGACAAAGTATATATTTTCATCTAATTTGTTTGATTGGGTTCTCTTTGTCAACTTTCAGAACTTGCATGAAAATCTGATTACTTTTTGGGTTATATTTATGCAGAAATACAGACAATTCTAAAGGGTTCACAAACTTTCAAGCAGCACTGTATATATATATATATTAGGGATGCGCCGATCCGATATTCATATCGGGTATCGGCTCCGATAGTGCCATTTTTCTCTGATCGGGTATCGGTCAGAGAGGGCTGATCCAAATCCGAGATGTTTTTATTTATTTTTTTCCCCCGATTGTGCGAATTATTCTGTGTTGCTTCTGAAGCCATACGATAGCTTAATGTGCACTACATATGAATATTTAAGTCCTTACATTAAAGTTCACATGAACTCTTTTCTCAGCTGTGGCTGTCAGTAATTCGTTCAGCCTTTAAACACTGGTCGCGTTCGGTTACAGCAGTCAGCTCGGTAAAGCTCTCTCCGAGATCATTCTGTGTTCCCATTATACTTGATTTGTAAATACATGTCTATGATTTTGCAAAAAGGACTTTATCTTCTTGCCGGAGTTTAATGTTGTTTTGTTACTTGCTACCGGGTGTCTGTGAGAACAAAACACGGGCGTAGATAAGACTATAAATTGTTTTTAACGTGCAACTGAAATTTAAAACTGTTAAAAGAAAGGCTCAATAACTGTTGCACAGATATAATACACTACGCATCAATTTCTCTTCCCTTTGTGCTTTGCAGTTTTTAAAATGAAGTGCTTACAATGTGCGCATCCGGTGTGCAGAACGATGCACCCGAAGCAACACGGCGCCAGGCTGTGACGCCACGTTGCTTCAAGCGCACCACCCCGCACACCGGACGCGCACACCGCAAGAGCCTCGTGCTCATAGACTGTATAAAAACAGTTCGTGCTGCACTGTATTTGTTTTGTCCTATCGTATCTATCATATGTTGTTGCCTTATTAAAAAATATGCTATACATTTAAAAGAAATGTATTTTAATTTTATAGTATATACTTATATATAAGTACATTCATGAATGTTTTTAATGAATGGATTTTATAATAATACAAATAGCAATGTGTAACATTTTACCATATTTAGTGCAACACTTTTATTTGTTCCCCACAAAATATAGTTTTTCACTAAATGTTTGGATTTCTAAAATTATTGTGCACTGATTTCTCTAGAATAACTTTTGCTGCCGAATTATCCACTAACCTAGTTTATGATACATTTTTGTCATAGATTATAAATATACATAAGCCTATATTTTTTCATATTCGTTTATTTTATTTTTCTTTTAATGAAGTAGTCTGTGTCTAGTAGATTGTGAAAAAAATGATTATCAGTTCCACACACAGAGATATATAAATTCTACATTTATTTAAATGAGGGGAAAAACTTCACTGGCATCGGATCGGTATCGGCCAATACCAAACCCTAGGTATCGGAATCGGTATCAGAGGCGAAAAGGGCGGATCGGAGCATCCCTAATATATATATATATATATGTATATACCATGGTCTGTCTGAATACTCGATTCTGATTGGCTGACAGGTATGCATTAAAACCGTTTATGTAATGCACAGGTCAAGTCAGTTTAATCACCATTCTATATTAATGCGCCAGATTTGATGTGAGATTAATTTGTGATTAATTATAAACTTAAAGAATGATTGCTGAGCGAGAGTTCTTCTCTGCTTCTTCACGTGCTATCGGAAACTTCCTATTTCCCACTTATGAAGTCGTGATTATGAGCACGTTGCATTCTTTTCTGTTAAAAATAACAGTGGACAGTGGTTTGTGAATGTTGATGTTTAGCCTAAATAATTTGATTGGGAGCATTCATGCTGCAGTCTTAGGCCCTCCCCAAATGCTCTCATTGGTTGAGACACATGATGACGCCCATCCCAAGCCAGTACTGATCAACATCCCACCCTTCCTGTCCTGTGACCCATGGTTTGTCTGTGTGTATTCAAAACCAGTGAGCAACGGACTTTCATAAAAATAAAAAAACTGCGTTAATGTGCGATAAAATAATTGTCGCGTTAATCAATTAATGCATTAAGAAAAACTGAAATATCACATGGTCCTAAGTATTCAGACCCTTTGAAGAGCTCAGAGACAGCATTGTGGCAAGGCAGAGATCTGGCCAAGGTTACAAAAGAATTTCTGCTGCACTTAAATATATATATATATATATATATATATATATATATATACATACACACACATATATATAAACATTTATAATGTGTATTATATATGTATTTACAGTTACACAACAATATATATATTGTTCTAAAATATATATTATATTATATTTTATATTATAATATAATGAAAGAATATTGGTCTAAAGACAAATTATCCTTAATGCCTTTAAATTACCTGTCATTTAGTTTTCCCCACAGTTCACCTACTAATACACTAAATCTACTACTGATCCTACTTCCCTCATGAGGGTAAAAGTCTCACGAGTCTTATGGCTACACCACAGCATAATAGTGCAGGCTTGGCAGAGGAGCTCTGTTATGAGCTCAAAGCTCAATGAGGAGTTTAAGAGCTTTAGCGTTCCACTAGTCCGCTGCGAGGAGTAACTTTTATTGTTACTTCAATAAAATAGTCAATTGAGTCCTGAAACACACTTTTCCGCTCACAGCAGCTGAGACCATGAGTGGCCTGGAGCTTTATTGCTCATGAAGACCAAGTGTTTTATTGCCCTACAAAGAGCAGTTCTTGTGTTCAACACAGTGGGAAATTATTCTGTGAATAATAAGTAACACCAGCTCCTGATATGCAATAATGTACGAAAATGCACTGTGAGATACAATGTGCTTATTGCTTTCATTTTACTTTTAGTAAACATCACTAAACATTAATGTATATTGTAAACATGTACTTTTTCAGTGTATTTCATTGCATGTATTGCATATAAAATACCTGCATGTTTTTCTCTTGTTTCTGAAGTGGCCTTTGGGTTTCAGTGTTTTTTTGTTTTTCCCACTGACGCAAACTTCTCCAACCACAGACAGATAAAGCACACGTAGCCGCTGAACAACAGGAAATGTTGCGCTATTCAAACGTGAGCTCATTCAGCCGCAAGCCTAAACAATAATGCAGCACTCACAGGCATTGTTGTTGATCTACCTGTATGACACACTCACACACTCACCTTTTCCTCCACTGATTGGTCTGAGATACAGCGCCAGCTCCTCCACACAGATCCTGCACACTTCATAATGTCTCGTGTCTTCAACACTGCCCACACTCACAATCTCTCCCTCTGGAACCTGCAGAAAAACAACCATTGGTAGATATGAAACACCACCAGAAGAGTTCTATTTATGACATTGTGACGTCAATGTTAAACAGCATAATGGTCACTGGTGAAAATTGCCTGTTTGAAGTGAAGCAAAGTGAAAATATTAGAGGAAGAACATTTCTAATTTCTACAATAAAAAAAAAAATAATAATTGGGAATCATGATAAGACACTAAGAAGTTCATTAAATGTAATAATTTACATTACATAAGAAAATGTATGGTAAATAATTTGTGTTTTATGTTATGATAATAGCTTTCTCACAGTTTGGACTTTTTTTATATCCCAAATTCTTTTTTCTTGCAGATCTGAGAAGAAAAGTCAGAATTACGGAATAAACTCGCAGTTACCTTTATTTTCAATTTCATGGAGGAAACAAAAAACTCATTGTGACGTCAATGTTAAACAGCATAATGGTCACTGGTGAAAATTGCCTGTTTGAAGTGAAGCAAAGTGAAAATATTAGAGGAAGAACATTTCTAATTTCTACAATAAAAAAAATAATAATAATTGGGAATCATGATAAGACACTAAGAAGTTCATTAAATGTAATAATTTACATTACATAAGAAAATGTATGGTAAATAATTTGTGTTTTATGTTATGATAATAGCTTTCTCACAGTTTGTACTTTTTTTATATCCCAAATTCTTTTTTCTTGCAGATCTGAGAAGAAAAGTCAGAATTACGGAATAAACTCGCAGTTACCTTTATTTTCAATTTCATGGAGGAAACAAAAAACAAAATTGCAAGATATAAACTCAGAATTGCGAGATATTAACTCAGAATTGTGAGATATAAACTCAGAACTGTAAGATATAAACTAAGAGTTGTGGGATATAAACTTTTAAAAATAAGAATTATGAGATATAAACTTAGAATTCTGAGGAAAAAGTTAGAATTGCAAGATATAAACTCAGAATTGTGAGAAATAAACTTAGAATTGTACGATAAATTCAGAATTGCGAGATATAAACTCAGAATTGTACGATAAACTCAGAATTGTGAGATAAACTTAGAATTGTACAACAAACTCAGAATTGTGAGATATAAACTCAGAATTGCGAGATATTAACTCAGAATTGTGAGATATAAACTCAGAACTGTAAGATATAAACTAAGAGTTGTGGGATATAAACTTTTAAAAATAAGAATTATGAGATATAAACTTAGAATTCTGAGGAAAAAGTTAGAATTGCAAGATATAAACTCAGAATTGTGAGAAATAAACTTAGAATTGTACGATAAATTCAGAATTGCGAGATATAAACTCAGAATTGTACGATAAACTCAGAATTGTTGAGATATAAACTTAGAATTGTACGATAAAGTCAGAATTGCGAGATATAAACTTAGAATTGTACGATAAAGTCAGAATTACGAGATATAAACAGAATTGTACGATAAACTCAGAATTGCGAGATATAAACTTAGAATTGTACGATAAACTCAGAATTGTGAGATATAAACTTAGAATTGTACGATAAACTCAGAATTGTGAGATATAAACTCAGAATTGTACGATAAACTCAGAATTGTGAGATATAAACTTAGAATTGTACGATAAACTCAGAATTGTGAGATATAAACTTAGAATTGTACGATAAACTCAGAATTGCGAGATATAAACTCAGAATTGTACGATAATCTCAGAATTGTGAGATATAAACTTAGAATTGTATGATAAACTCAGAATTATAAAGAATAGATAAAAGTCAGAATTGGGGAAAAAAAGATAATCTCAGAATTGTGAGATATAAACTTAGAATTGTACGATAAACTCAGTATTGCGAGATATAAACTCAGAATTGTACGATAATCTCAGAATTGTGAGATATAAACTCAGAATTGTATGATAAACTCAGAATTATAAAGAATAGATAAAAGTCAGAATTGGGGAAAAAAGCTCAAAATTGGGAGAAATAAATTCAAAATTTTGAGTTATAAACTCCAAATTGTGAGATGTAAACAGGAGATTGCAGGAGTTTATATCTGGCAATTCTGACTTTTTTCTTAGAACTGCAAGTTCATATCTCACAATTCAGTTTTCTCAGGATTTTAAAATAAAAATTGCGAGACATAAAGTATTGATTACCATTTTAAGCAAAGTGTGGAAAGTGTGTCTCGCTCTTTATGAGAATTTTTGTTTAGTTTCCTGAGCACAAACCCATCAAAAATGAAGCTAATTACTGTATGGAATGGAAGGATGCCAGAAGGAAGGGTAGTTTGAGATATAAGTCATAACCACCACCACAGCTGTTACACACATTTTTTATTTCCTACAAATACAAAAGCAACAGTTATTCTTTCTCCTGTTGGATTTTAATATTCTACCAATACTTGGTTTGGCCATCTCCTCTTCATCTGTTCGTCATTATTTTGCGAGCTTTCTTGCTGTTGGCTGAGTAGAAGTCAAATGTTAATTTCATTACTCTAATTAAGAAATGCATCAGTTTGGATTAGAGAACATTTAATTATGTGAAAAAAGCATTAGACTATGTGGAAAAAGCTGCTGCACATTGAAATAGACCCTGAATGACATTTATTTAGTATGTCAAATGTTTGTTACGTATTGACTCGGAAGTATGCGGACGTCATTTTGTCGGGTGCTGTTGCCATGGTGAATCAAAATTTCGGAGCTCCATTGATCATGGCTTTTCATAGTCATGGTGCACGCTAAACTCAGAGTCAGTCTACTCAGAGTTGATTAAACTAACTACATTTAGCTGTTCTGAACCCGAAAAAATGCAGAGTTTCCCATCTCAGGGTAAGTCAACTCAGAGTTGGTTGAACCTCCTTACTGAAACAGTCCCCAGAAAGACAGCAACACTAGATTTCCTGAGCTATTCAAAACATCAAAAGCAATCATATCGATTATATATGCATGCCCCACTCACCGGCGCCCCCACCAGCTGCAGGAGGGCACAGTTGACAGGCAGCACATCAATGTCAGTGCTAATGGCCGTCTGGTCAAAAGGACAGGCCTTGCGATGCAGTTTGTGCAGGCAGGTCTTGCAGACGGTGTGCGAGCAGCCCAGGCTGATGGGCTTGTGGCTGCAGGCGTCAAACTCATTATAGCAGATGGGGCAGGATAGAAACTCAGTCCATTGAGCTGCCTGCACCGGCATCCTGTAACCTCCAGGTGGAACAATCACGCTCAGGTAAATCGCATGATGCCTCGCCCCGGCACCTTAAACACACCTGAGGAGAGAAACAGACACTGAGACCCATTCACTAATCATGCATACACACAATTTTATACATGAAATCTGCATACAAAGATTTTCATAAAAAAGCATGATTCATCTGTATTAAACGAGTTTATTGCGTTTGAACTGGTTTTGAACACATGTACTTGGCCTTGCTCAAGAATCTTGCAGTATGTTCTCAGGCGAGAGCTCTTCTTTAGAGAGTTTCATATGTTTGCTAAGAGTGATGAAAGGTTGTGTGGAAAGCCCTTACATGGAGATGGTTTGGGCATGGTTTTTTATGCAAATGACTAACCTTGAACACACAGTTGTTCATTTAGTAAGCTCTAAATCCATTAACATTAGAACAAGGTTAACAACAAATTCATGTGCGGATACATGTGTTAGGTAGGGTCTTTTTGCTCGATTCATTAAAAGAACCAATTCGTTTGACTTATTGGTGTCGTTTGTTCGTGAATCAGACTGCATAGCTGGTGCTGTTTGTTTTTGTGATTACTTGTGCCAGTTGCTCGATTCATTAAAAAAACAGTTCATTTTTTTACTTGTGCCAGTTGCGTGAATCATTAAAAGAATGTCATATGTTTGTGAATCATCAGACTACATAAGTGACACTGTTTGTTTTTGCATGTAACGTGTTTTTTTTTACTTGTGCCAGTTACTCAATTCATTAAAAGAACCAATTCATTTGACTTGTAAGAGTCATTTGTTCGTGAATCAGACTACATAGGTTTTACTGTTTGTCTTAGTGTGTAAAGTGTTTTTTTCTTGTGCCAGTTGCTTGATTCATTAAAAGAATCATTCATTTGACTGATTCATGAATGTTTGTTTCTTGATCATGTCTGTTTTTGCGTGTAATGTTTTTTTTTTTACTTGGGCCAGTTGCTTGATTCATTAAGAGAACCAATTCATTTTATTTTTAGTAGTGACAGTATCTTAATTCATTAAAAAATCAGACTACAGGTGGTGCTGTTTGTTTTTGCGTATAACACGTTTTTTTTACTTGTGTCAGTTGCTAGAATTATTAAGAGAACCAATTCTTTTCTTTTTTTTTTTTACTTGTGTTAGCTAGTTGCTCGATTTATTATAAGAACCAATTAATTTGACCTATAAGAGTCATCTGTTTGTGAATCAGACTACATAGGTGGAGCTGTTTGTTTTTGCGTGCAACCACTCAGCAACATCCAGACACCACGGCACTCATATTTATTTTAGAGTTATTCTTTCTCTCTCAATTCCTCCCCCTCTGATGTCATTTCTTGTTGCCATCAGCTCTCAGCTCTAGGAATAAACTGTCTTGCACTCAGACTCATTCATGTTCTGCACATCTCCATTCACTCAACCCCTCCCTCGCACTTTCTCTAGATCCCTTTATTTGTTTCTGAATTTGTGCTCTTCAGGGACTTCCTTTAGGACAGAAGGTGGACCAGATAAGCGTGAAACAGCCATCAACACTGTGTGGATTGAAACCCCACATTAAACACATTTCACAAACCCCAGCAAAAAGCCAAGGAGAGGAACATAGTAAAAGGACAGCTGAAAATTGCCTTTATCTTCGTCAGCGCCTCATGGATTGCTCTTGTCGAAAGGTGTAAAATTACAGCGGTAAAAGAAATCATTCATTCCCCTACTTGGACACCACATAGAGTTTCAGCTGCTACGTAACTGCTGTTCCAGCAGCACCTGCTGACTGAACCCCTCGACTGATGTCTGCTTCTCCAGGAAAGGCTCCGGTGACACTTCATACCCTGACAGAACCATGTCATGCAAAGTTATGCAAGGGCCCCCACTGCTGTTGAGATCAATCATTTGTCAGGGAGGAGCTCATGCCTTTGGCCATGTGGGCACTACTCTCTTTCAGTATGTTACTCACAAAACCACCAGCCTAATGTAAAGGCATGCAAATTAATGTCAGTACATCTTATCCTATATGTAAAAGAAAGCCATCATATATAATATTTAAACTAAAAGGTGTAAGTTTATTCACAACGTAAGCCTGCATTAATGCGCAATCATAAAACACAAAGCAATTGAATATGAACGGCATTAGCTTTAAATACTATTTTAAACAATTCAGCAAATGCAGCATTAATAAAAGTAATACGATGAATAAAGTAGCACGGTACCTGAAGTAGACAGTAAGTTACTGCACATACACGAAACATTTATGCATCTACGCACCATGTAAGTGACCGCGCGCGTGAAACATCCCCAGCGTAGCTCGATTCCGCTCGCGCGAGTCATATTTCCACGCTGCTGCTGAATTTAATGTCGCTGGGTTCACGCGTGAGACAAAACGCGTTCGAGGATAGTTGCGGTGGTGGGTTTCGTGGCGTGATTCAGTGACTCATGGTCACGGGGAGCATCACGATGCGCGAGGGAATTCTGATATTTTTACACGCCCACTCTTCCACGCGAATCACGCGAGCGTTCATCATCAATGCACTTTACATGCATACAGTACAGTGCGGGCGTGTGCGTGTGCGTGTGCGTGTTATAGATGTCACATTTATACTTAATTACAAATGCATTACTACAAACATAGCGTTTTTAAAAGTTGCTTCACAAAATAATTACATATCAAGTTTTTTTTTTTTTTTTTTACAAAACTTGTAGAAACATACAGAAACAGGGAAGTGAGGCATGAATATATTCCAACAAAAAGCAATTATAAAAATAAAAACAGAAAACAAATATTCTGTATTTGCATGTCAAAGTAATTAAGTGACGTTATAATGCGTTTTGAAATGCAGGCTAAAATGGGTTTGCTTGAACTGAGCGCGTCGTGTGGAACGCCGTGCATACAAAAAAAATGACAAAAGATCACTTCAAGCTCATAAACAGGAAATCACTTCACTGTCTTGCCACCATGTGACTAGGGCACAGCAGAAAATAGAAACTCTGAAGACAAACAGGAAAATGTTTGCAACTATTAACACTATCATGAAAGTTATTTTTACAGTAGGCTAAAACATAACGTGTTTTACACACTGCTGTCATCCTTTCTAAATTGTCATCTAAATATTTCACTGAAGTGTATATATCACATAATACAAAGTCGTAAATATTTAGATTTATTTCAACCCTCTCACATCTCAAACAACTTGCGTTACTTATTTGAAAAAAGTAACTCAGATATTCTCTTGTAAATTAAAAAGTAATGCGTTACTTCACTAGTTACTTGAAAAAAGTAATCTGATTACGTAACTCGCGTTACTTGTAATGCGTTACCCCCAACACTGCTTGGTTACGCCTGTAAATGGCTATATTTTGTCAGGTAACGTAAAAATGTGGTAACGACGAAATCAACTGGATTTATTCGAGTAAAAAAAACATTATAATTGAATATGCCCGAATGCGCGCGAGACTGCAGCGATTTAAGAATGGAATCAGGTAGAAACCCCCTCATGGTAGAACCCACCATCAAAGTAACAAGAATGCATTTACACTCTTCACAGTGTATAATGAAACTGAAACTACTTCAATCTATTGTCTTCTGTCGGAAAATATTGCGTTTGGTATAATGTGTCTTTCAAGTGTGAAGAACTCCGAGCATCATGATTAGTAGGCTATACATGGAAAATGAACACTACCTAAAGCTTTGGGTTGATCGAATGAATGAAACGTGGAATAATCTATTGTTCTTAAGACGCGGAAGTCTGTTTGAGCGCTAATTTTGTTGTGCAACTCCACTGACAGCTGCGCACCTATAAACTTACTCCAGATCAACTTTATTTTCTTACATATACAACGTGGATCATCAGGTTCACTGAATCATCATGAAAAGGATTAATCACTGAATCTTAGCCAAGCGTTCTATTAGACATTGAAATATGAAATCGCATGGAATTAGATCTAATGCAATGCACACCATGAATATTCCTAATGCTATAGGCATTTCTCGCGCAAATAACTAGCAGTGCAACAAACTTAAAGCAACGCGACATGCTGTTGCTCATGCATCAATGTCTATTCCCTTGCTATTTGTTTTCATGGAGAAAAGTTTGGCAAAAAAGTGTATTTATTGTAGGGATGATGTTGCATAATGTTTTCGCGCACATCTTTTTAGCCGCGCGCGCCACACCAGCAGCGATCCTCAATGTTACTTCCCGATACTGTCAAAGTCGCGCGACTTGCACTTACCGCAGGCGACACAGAGTATCATCATAACCGTCCATAGTTTACGAGCACTTCGCCATCAAGAGCAAATTCTTCATCGCATTCAGTTATTCACAGCCGAGCCGAACTTCTTTTTCCCGAATTTTTGGCGTCCTTTTTTATTCCGTCCGGACATCACATTAAATCATAAATGTAATTTCCAGAGATTTGGGAGCGCATTCCCTGACAGCGCGACATGTTCAGCATGAGCAGGTACACTCCCATGACCGTCAGCGAAGACACGAAAACTACTACGACGAGGACGTCTGTTTGGATATTAAAAAGCCAAGCCTCTGTCATTGGATGGCAGCAACATGACGTCTGCGTTACCTAATCAATATTCATGAGCCAAGCTTTCACCTTTACTGTCTACACAAACCTGAAATCATTCTAGAAAAGCTAAAAGATTCATCGTTGTACCTTGCTTAGCCCTAAATTGTATCTTTTGGTACCTTAGAGGTAAATATTATTAGTAGGCTATTTTAAAAGTACATATTAGTAATCATGCCTAAAGTTTGCATAATTGCTACCTACCTAGTGACAGTTTTGTAGTGTTTTTCTTACTCAGTTATTACAGTAAGCTATTCTGCTATTGAATGTTACTGAAACATACTGATACGTGAAAGGATACTTGAAATAATGAGACTAAATTTGATGTAGTTATTTATTTATTTTTTTGTAGTTATTTGTTATTCGTACGGCAACCTGTGGTTGTTTTATAATCATTATTCATTCCGATTCCCAGCTTCAGCTACTCTCCGAAGTTACCAAGCAACTTTCTTATTACATAATTAATATTCATTAGCCAAGCCTTCGCCATAGTAGGATTCGCAACTTCAAAGATCCGCCGAGCAGCGAGATTCGGCCTCTCGATATCCCTCCGCCGCGGATGCTCGCATCCCGAATAGAGCTGTGGATGCGCTTGTTTAAACTTCAGATGACTCGGCTGGATGCTGGAGCTGTGCTTTTTCAGCAGAATGTCACAGACGATGCTGTTGTTGATTATTGTGCAGGGTACTATTTTCATGTAGGGGGCAAGGATAAAGATGTAAAGGGGCAAAGCCGGAACAAGCCGCTTTTCGAGGCGTAGGCTGCATGTATTTTAAAGAGACAGAGATGCTTTACTGTAGCTGAACGATAGCTGATCAGGTGGATCTGTTTGTTCATGCACTTTGGTGAAATAGGAAATGTAAGGAGTTCTGGGTTGATTAAGTCAATCGTAGTGAATTCTTTCAAATCACGCTGATGTTTGCTCACACTTTCTACACTGTTCCTGTTCCTGCTTCACTGTTGAGTTGAGATCTTATGGAGAACTAGATTACGGTAGCAGGTGCATCCCTACATAGAGAGCAACATGGCATAAACAATTTAGATAAAATGCTGCACAATACTGGGGAAACATGTGATGCAAATGAATGTTATGAAATAATTACTATTTAAAATTATTTGATCAAATCCTGCCTAAAGTAATATGGTCTTTTATATGTGTACGGCCTACTACAGGGTCCCCCAGCCCTAAATGTATTTTGCGTTACTATTCTTGTTATAGAATCATATGGAATCCATTCTAGGATGTTCATAAAGGTCTTTTTGTGAAAAAAAGTCAGGCAGTTAGCTCATCAGACTGTCATCATGTTAACACATTTACCCCCATTCACTCACTTTTCATTTGTATTACAGTAAAGTCCAAGTGAGAGAGACATTTTTGATAAGGACGTTGGCGACACCATCTGGCCATAAACAGACAGTGTAGTCATACTGCACACATTTAAATACGGTATTTGTTCACCTCTACTGGATCTCACTGCTAAATAGTTCCTCAGGTTTTGTTCTTTAAGATGTCAATTACGGTAGTTTATTTTATCATTCGTATTTTACCTAAATCTATCATGCATCTTTTAGTTTCCACACATTTAAATACGGTATTTGTTCACCTCTACTGGATCTCACTGCTAAATAGTTCCTCGGGTTTTGTTCTTTAAGATGTCAATTACGGTAGTTTATTTTATCATTCGTATTTTACCTAAATCTATCATGCATCTTTTAGTTTTGTGGTTTTCTTTAAATCCCCTACGGATTTGTAGTAAAAAAAAAAAAAAAGTAACACTATGGTTTTTGAAAGGAGGTTTTGAAAATGTTGATCCTAACCTCAAGAGGCCAAGTAAATATTTTATGAACTATTTTGTTTTCTATGATACATCTAATAGGTCTCCCAACATAATTTAGGACTGTAAGTTAAAAAAGGAAAGAAAGTTGAATTAATTAGTAATTAATTTGAATTGAAATTGAATAAAGTTTCATTTTAATTAATAACTTTTACAAGCCCTGTATATATAACTGGAGAAACGTTTTAATAAAACACAAGGGGGCGCACTTTGTACGCAGTGGCACCAAAATCTTTTTTTCTTTTTCTTTTTTGAGTAAAGGATTTTTTCGTCTCACTGCCGATCTCTTACTATGGTTCACTGGTGCACCTTACACTGTTACTAAGCTACTGAACTCTGCACAGTGTTTGTTTGGATGTTTTCTAGTCAGCGTCTGGTCTTTTGATGAAGTTTCTGCTTCAGTGACTGAAAGAATATCTGGCAATGGGTCATCCAGTCACCTTCAGTTTTAGAAATGATCCATTAAAAGAAAATTCACAAAAATGAAAATTTGCTGAAAATGTACACATCCTCAAACCATCCAAGATATGGATGAGTTTGTTTCTTCATCAGAACAGATTTGGAGAAATGCAGCATTTCATCACTTGCTCACCAATGGATGCTCTGCAGTGAATGGGTGCCGTCAGAATGAGGGTCCAAACAGCTGATAAAAACAATAACCCACACCACTCCAGTCCATCAGTTAATAATGGATTATGGAGAAAGCAATAGTTGTGGATTATTGTGATGTTTTAATCAGCTGTTTGGACTCTCATTCTGACGGCACCCATTCACTGCAGAGCATCCATTGGTGAGCAAGTGATGAAATGCTACATTTCTCCAAATCTGTTCTGATGAAGATACAAACTCATCTACATCTTGGGTGCAACAAACTTAAAGCAACGCGACATGCTGTTGCTCATGCATCACTGTCCATTCGCTAGCTATTTGGTTCCAAAGAAAAAGTTTGATTTTTAAAAAAAAAATTATTATAAGGATGATGTTGCATAATAATTTCGCGCACATCTTTGAGCAGCGCGCGCCACACCAGCAGCGATCCTCAACGATACTTCCCGATACTGTCAAAGTCGCGCGACTTGCACTTACCGCAGGCGACACAGAGTATCATCATAACCGTCCATAGTTTACGAGCACTTCGCCATCAAGAGCAAATTCTTCATCGCATTCAGTTATTCACAGCCGAGCCGAACTTCTTTTTCCCGAATTTTTGGCGTCCTTTTTTATTCCGTCCGGACATCACATTAAATCATAAATGTAATTTCCAGAGATTTGGGAGCGCATTCCCTGACAGCGCGACATGTTCAGCATGAGCAGGTACACTCCCATGACCGTCAGCGAAGACACGAAAACTACTACGACGAGGACGTCTGTTTGGATATTAAAAAGCCAAGCCTCTG